TAACTAAGAATTCCAAATTGAGATGCACAGAGTCAAGGGTCCTCTGTAACAGACTCAGATCCAGGGAAGTGGAGGTGAGGGGTACTTAAGGATACCTATGCCAAGCTCTCCAGTGTGGAACTATTTGGGAGGCTTCTCAGGGTCTCCTGGTTCAACAGTTTCCTGGATTCCAGGGGATGTGCCCAATACCCATCTAATAAATCTCACTCTCTCTCTTTTAACTTAGCTAGCCAGAATTTATTCCTGTTGCTTACCACCAAAACCAACATGTGTTGTTATTGTTATGTGCCATGGAGTCAGTTCCAACTCATAGCAACCCTGTACAGGTTTCTGAGGCTGTAAATCTTTACGGGAGCAGAAAGCCTCATCTTTCTTCCGCGGAACAGCTGGTAGTTTCGAACTGTTGACCTCTTTTAACTTAGCTAGCCAGAATTTATTCCTGTTCCTTATAACCAAAACCAACATTTGTTGTTGTTGTTATGTGCCATCGAGTCGGTTCCGACCCATAGCGACCCTGTATAGGGTTTCCGAGGGTGTAAATCTTTACGGGAGTAGAAAGCCTCATCTTTCTCCCATGGAGCAGCTGGTAGTTTCGAACCGCTGACCTTAAGGTTTGCAGCCCGATTCGTAACCACTACGCTACCAGAGCTACCAACATATATACCCCTAAAAAGTCATCTTGCTTAAATAGCTAATGGTTTCAACTTGACTGCTGCTTCAGGCAAGGGTAGGGAAAGGTGAGGCTGATAGTCAAATTAACACTGGAATTGCTGATAATGGAACTTATATGGTGCTGTAGGATCAGCACTGGACTGCAAACCACAAGGTCAGCTGTTCAAACCCACCAGCTGCTCCTCGGAAACCCTATACAGGGTTGCTATGAGTCGGAACTGAGTTGACGGCACTTCACAACAATGAAAACCGAAGGCCAACCCGCTGTCCTTAAATCTATCCTAACTCACAGTAACTGCATTAGAAAGAGTAGAAACTACCCTCCAAGGCTTCCAAGGCTATAGTCTGTACAGAAGCTGACGTCCACATCTTATACCTACAGAACTACTTATGGGTTTGAATTGCCAACTTTTCAGTCAGCAGCCAAGTGTTTTAACTACTGCGGCACCCAGGGCAATTTGAACTTTGGCATTAGGACATATTTCATTTGAGAGGTGGAGTACCAATGGTGTTTGCCATGGGAAGGCTTATCTGCCTTGTTGTGTGAACTGACCAGGCTGTTCACAGATGCGTTTGTCTGTGGGTAACTCCTGATGGGCTTCCAAGGGCTAGTCTCCCACCACAGGTGTGCAACCTTCAGAGGATCTGGGGAAATCCAACAGACGGGCACATGGTCTGGCGACGTGGCCTTTAGGGAGCTCCTGGAAGCTATTAAAAAAGGACAGTGAGATCACAATACAATTGTTGTTTTAAGCCACAAAGTTCTGGACTCCTGCTATGGTGCTATAGGACCAGCACAGGACTGTGAATCACAAGGTTGGCAGTTCAAGCCCACTAGCTGCTCCTTAGAAACCCTATACTGGGTCACTGTGAGTCACAACCACTTCAATGGCACTTAACAACAACTTGTTGTCTGCTCCCTCAAAGATTTATGGGCTCAGAAACCCTACACAGGGTCACTTGAGTTGGAACCAATTTGATGGCACTTAACAACAGCAATAACAAAGACAAACTAGGAAAGAGTATCTGATGTTCTGCTTCTGAAAAATTTGGCCACTGAAAACGTTATGAACAGCAAAAGATTGCCTCATATACTACCAAAGATGAGCCCCTTACAATAGAAGGCACTCAACATACGACCAAGCAACAACTGTCTCCTCAATGTAGACTCAATCTTAAAAACACAGATGGAGCAACACTCTTGAGAGCTTCATTTGCTAGCATTTGTTGTTAAGTGCCATCGAGTCGATTCCAAGCCATAGCGACCCTGTATAGGGTTTCCAAGGAGCAGCTCGTAAGCTTGAACCACCTATCTTGTAGTTCAAATGACTTTGCAGTCTAGCGCATTAGCCCACAGTACCATTGGCTAGCATAGCATGAGTCAAAATGAGAAGAAACAGCTGCAAATGTCCATTATTCACTGGAATGTGGAATGTGTGAAGTATTTGTTGTTGTTGTTAGGTGCCCTCGAGTTGGTACCGACTCATAGCGACCTTATGCACAACAGAACGAAACACTACCAGGTCCTGGGCCAACCTCACTACTGTTGCCATGCTTGAGCCCATCGATGCTGCCACTTGGCCAATCCATCTCGTTGAGGGTCTTCCTCCTTTTCTCTGACCCTCCACCTTACCAAACATGATATCCTTCTCCAGCGACTGGTCCCTCTTGACAATATGTCCAAAGTATGAGACAAAGTTTGGCCATCTTGGCTTCCAAGGAGCACCCTGGCTGCACTTTTTCCAAAGCGGATCTATTGGTTCTTCTGGCAGCCCATGTGAAGTATGGATATAGGAAAATTGGAAGTTGTCAAAAATGAAATGGAATGCTTTCAGATTGATATCCTAGGCATTAATGAGCTGAAATAGACTGCTATTTGGTTATTTTCAATTAGACATTCATATGGCCTCATATGCTAGAAATGACAGATTGAAGAAGAATAGCATCACCTCCATCCTCCAAAAGAACATCTCAAGATCTGTCTTGAAACACAACACTATTGCTAACAGGATAATATCCATATACACACAAGGATGACCAGTTAATAAAACTATTATTCAAGTTTATGCCAAATATGAAGAAATTCAACATTTTTATCAGCTTCTGTAGTTGGAAATTGATCACGTATGAAACAAAAATGCATTGATAATTACTGTTGATTGGAATGTGAAAGTTGGAAACAAAGAAGGACCAGCATTTGAAAAATATAACCTTGATAATAAAAAAATTACCCTGGAGAGCCCATGGTAGAATTTTATAAGACCTATAACTTATTCAGTATAAATACCTTTTTTCAATAACATAATTTATGACTATATATGTGGACTTTGCCAGATAGAAAACACAGAAATCAAATTGACTACATCTGTGGAAAGAGGTGAAGGGAGAAATGCAATGCCGTCAGTTAGAACATGGCTAGGGGCCAACTGTGAGCCCATCAACTGCTAATATGCACGTTCAAGTTGAAGCTGAAGAAAATTAAAACAAGTTCACAAGAGCCAAAATACGACTTTGAGTGTATCCCTCCTGAATTGATAAGCAGTCTCAAGAATAGATTCGACTCATTGAATACTAAGTGACTAAAGTCCAAAGAAATTGTGGGGTGACATCAAGGACATCATACATGGAGAAAGGAAAGGTCATTAGAAAGACAGGAAAGAAAGAAAAGACCAAACTCGATCTCATAAGAGATTCTGAAACTTGTTCTTGTACACAGAGTAGCTAAAGCAAATGGAAAAAATGAGGTAAGAGCTGACCAGAGTATTTCAAAGGGCATCTCAAGAAGACAAAGTATTATGATGAAATGTGAAAACCTAAAATTAGAAAACCAAAAGGGATTAACACGTTTGGCATTTCTCAAACTGAAAGAATTGAAGAATCGAATGGCAATATTGAAGGATTCTATGGAATTCTAAGGAGAAAGATGAGGCTTTCTGCTCCTGAGAAGATTTAAAGCCTCTGAAACCCCCTCCAGGGTCTCTATGAGTCAGAACCAACTTGACGGCACTTAACAAGAACAACATGGACAACAGATTGACCATTTAATCTTTGGACACAAGAAGCATCCAAAGATTAAATTAGAATAAAGAACCAATCAGCATGTAACCATTAAAGGAATACCATAAAGAATCAATCAGAATTTAACCATTTCAGGAGGTAATACCATCAAGAGCTGATGGTATGAAAAGAAGAGATCCACACTGCTGCACTGAAGTCATGGGTGAAAAACAAGGTTCTAGAAATTGACATAGTACCAACTTAGATGCTTCAACAAACACTACAAGTGCTCACTCATCTATGCCAAGCCATTTGGAATACAGCTACCTGATCAACCAACTAGAAGAGATCTGTGTTTGTGCTCTTCCAAAGAGAGGTGATCCAAAGAATGCAAAAAGCGGACTCAAGCAATGTCATTAATACCACACACAGGTAAAATTTACTGAAGATAATTTTATTCAAAAGAGTTGCAGCAGTGCACTAATAGCAACTGCCAGAAATTCAAGCCCGATTCAGATCAGAAAGAGGACTCGGAATGAGGGATATCATTGCTGATGTCATGTGGATCTTGGCTGAAAGCAAAGAATACCAGAAATATGTTTCCCTGTATTTTGTTGACCATACAACTATGGAATCAAACATGGCAAAGATGGTGAGGGTGGTTCAGGACTAGACAGTGTTTTGTTGTACATAGATGTGATTGCTAGGGTGTTGGAACCAATTCAATGGCACCTAACAACAACATGATCAGAGGTTATTATAGAGACTACGGGTGCCTGGTTACACGGTAGAACGTCTCCAAAGCTCACCTACCTGGTATTGCTAGTCTGTCAAAGAAAGAGAAAGAAAACATAAGGGGAGAGAAAAAGAGGAGGAAATGAAAGAGAGAAAGAGACTTCTCTTCATCAGACATCACCCTGTACTTTCAGTTATTTGGGAGAATGTACATTTATCTAAGCAAGAAATGTTACCTTCCATTATTATAATTTGTAACTATGTCTTCACTGAGACTTGGAAGCTATCTGATGATGACATAGAATATTGGACAGTGAGGCCCACTTGGCTCCAAGTCACATCAGCAGGTATACAGCACAAAGGTAAAGATGTTTTCCTTCATTTCAAATCAAGCATTCTTATATCTTCCAGACTTGTGGGAAGATTGACCACTAATATCAATCTTGGTTTGTGTATTTGTGCAGATTAAAATATGAAGTGCACACAGTATATTCTATCTTTGCCTGCTGTTTCCTTGAAGTGGCGTCCAAATGATAAGGATGAAGTATAAAAAGTGACCTGGGCCCATGATCAAGTGGAGGGACTGCTCAGAACATCAGACAGGGTAAGTCTCACCTTTGCCATTGCACTGCCAGCAGTGGTACAGATACCTGGCAAGATGGCCTTAGTTCTCCAGGCTGCACATTGTTCTGGGCATGCTTGGGGGAGGCTGAGTATGTCTGACTTTATTGTAGATGCTGAGCATCTGGACAGTCACACTTTTTCTGCTGGGAGCAGCCAATGGTAAGAAACAACAGCAACCCTGCCCCTTGGGAAAAGTTTAAACCCAAGATCTCAGCATTAAGCAGAGAAAGTTAGCGGGGAGGATGGGGGGCAGCTGTTTGCCTGGGAGAAGAGCTGGACTATCTGAGGGGGATCTACTTCAAGCCTCTCCTGATGGCTTGCCTTCATGCCTGGGTACCTGAAGCCAGTCTTTTCCAGGTAAGCCATGAAATGCTCCTATCAAAATGCAAGTGTGAGCCTGCCCGGATTAAGAGATTGACCTTCCAATGTCCATTGTCACACTGAGTTTTCACAAATCGTCACTGTATCTTTCTTCTAAGGTGTCTCTAGGTGGAGTCAACCCTCCAGCCTTTTGGTTAGCTGCTGAGCATGTTAACAGAGTTTCTTCAGGGAGCTCTGTGTTCACATTGTTGTTGTTCTTAAGTGTTGTCAAGTCAGTTCTGACTCATAGCGAGTGGCTGATGGGTTTGAACCGCCAACCTTGCGGTTAACAAGCTAGTCCTTATCCCCACACCAGGACTGTATTGTCACATTGTTGTTGCTGTTGTTACAGTTTCAAAAGAGCAGCAGGTGGTTTTGAACTACTGTCCTTGAGGCTAGCAGTTCAGTGCTTACCCTACAGTGCCACACAAAGGCTCTACTGGCACATCAGTCAAATATGTACTCGTAATGTGTATCTGAAAGCAGAGTACCGGTGTGGTGCTGTAGGGTAAAGCATTGTACAGCAAGGTTGGTTTGAACTTCAAGGTCAGTGGTTCAAACTCACCAGCTGATCCTCGGAAAACCTACACAGGGCTGCTATGAGTCGGAACCAACTCGACAGCACTTAACAACAACATTATCAGAAGAGCTAGGGATGAAACACAGGATTGCTAAGTTCTGAGTGAAGGAACGTCAGAATCTCTGTGGACCCAATGGGACTGGTCCCAGGACAGTAGTGGGCAGTGGGGGCAAGAAGGGGCTGTCTATGTCTTCATTGTTGGGCACGGGAATCAGTGGACCTCAGGAGCACTGCTTCAGAGCCTGGCCTCGGCCTCTTAGTCTTAGTCTGGCTCTTCCTCTCACTCCAGCAAAGGAAATTTGCTATGATGACCTTGGGTGCTTTTCTGACTTGGAGCCCTGGGCTGGGACTGCAATCCGGCCCCTGAAAGTCCTCCCCTGGAGCCCTGAGAAGATCGGTACCCGCTTCCTGCTCTACACCAACGAAAACCCAACCACTTTTCAGGTGAGAGACCTTTTATCATTTTGGTACCATTGTAACTGGGCGAGGGGCTACCCCCCGCACACAGACCATGAGTCCTAGGGGGTGAGAACTTGGTTATCTGTAACCCCTGCCTCCATAACTTCCTGCCCCACCCCATCCCTCCACCCCTCCTCTACTCCCAGAACCAGGCAGACCTGAACAGTGCAGGTCTTCAGTAAACGTTTGTTTGAACGAACAAATGGTTTACATATTGTTCACTATTGAACAATAGGGAAGGCAAGACAGCAGTACCTGCTTTCAATACAGATGGGGAGCTGGACCATGGCCCACACCCAGTAGAGGCAGCGATGACAGACTTGGGGAGTTGAAACAGGGAGGAGGTCAGGGTGGGCTTCATGGAAGAGGTGGCTTCTGTGTTAAGCTTTAAAAAGTCATGGAGTCAGGACAGGAGATGGGGAAGGGGAGAGACAGGCCTGGGTGGCAGAGATAACATGCCCCACTTCTGTGTTTGCTGCAGACACTCATTCCCTCTGATCCATCAACGATTGAGGCATCAAATTTTCAAACAGACAGGAAGACCCGGTTCATCATCCACGGTTTCATAGACAAAGGAGATGAGAGCTGGGTACTGGACATGTGCAAGGTAGGGGCCACCTCTCATCCCTGCCACTCCTCCTGATGATTCTACCTCCCTTTATGCCACTCGATACCCAAACTCTAAGACAGAAGCTCCACCCAGGTCCTCCAAGAGAGTCTTTGCACACAGCAATAGAAATTTCGTATGACATTTCGGAATACATCTGTTGACTGTAACAATTCTTCCACTCTCTCATTTCTGGTTAAATCAAGGTAGTAAGGCTATTCTGTTCCCATTTTCAGTGAGGGTACCTTGTGTCCATGAAATGAGGGGTTCTGATCTTAGCGCTCAAATCACCCCTATCTCCTGAGGGTCAGCATTGTGTTGCTAGGACCACTGTTGAAGATATGGAGAACTAAGACTGACTAGGCACTGAAACCAGTGGGAGAGAAAGGGCCAGAATTATATACTATAGGGCCTGTTCCCTGGAAGGACAGACAAAGGAATAACATACCCACATGTACACATACAGAAACACAGACAGATAAATACACACTTATACATACATACACATATACACTCCAATATGCCATCATTGTTTTTCTCCTGCCTACACTGGTCCATTCTTATTCTTGTCTATCAGAGTTTACCCCAGCAACCTCCCTCCTACACACATGTTAACCACTCAAACCGCTGGGATGTCATTTGTGTCATCAGGAAAACATACAAATCCAGAAAATTAATTTTGCCTTTGGCTTTGGTTTTCTAGACATTTAATGTCCAGCACCTACGTTTCTCCACAATTCGAGGGGGCTTCCAAAAGTTTATGGAAAGATGAAATAGACAGATAATGAAATTTTCCCATGAACTTTTGGAAGCCCCCTTGTATTAAGTGCTTTATTGATACAGGCTTATAGCCAATGTTTGTAAGCATGTGTGGAAAAGATCCCGCCATTCTGCTTAAAAAAAAAAAAAAAAGAAAGAAAGAAAAGATGAAAGCTCCTGAGAAAACAGCTACCAGGGTCCCTGAGTGAGATCACACGAGTCAGCATCATACAGGTGGAAAGATGGCACGTGGATGGGAATGTTTCTAGCACCATTTTTAAGTTCATGCTGGTTATAGGTGCTGCTGAGTATGCCATCTAAAGATCCATCACAGCCTGGGACATCCAGGAAGACATTTTTCTTCCGGTATTCTCCCTACTCTGTTAAATCAACATAATTCTATCTCATATATCTGCAGTGTGGGTTTCCTCCATGAATCACTGTTGTCTGACATTAAAAGCAGGGATGTTCTTTCTCCCTCCCTCCTTCACCAACCTCCCCGCACACACACACACACTCACACACACCTTACTGTTGTCGAGGAGTTTATTTTAACTCATAGTAACCCCACGTGACGTTGTTGTTGTTGTCGTTAAGTGCCGGCGAGTCGGTTCCGACCCATAGCGACCCTGTATAGGGTTTCCAAAGGAGCTCTGGTAGGTAGCATAGTGGTTACGAATCAGGCTGCTAACCACAAGGTCAGCAATTTGAAAGATGAGGCTTTCTTCTCCCTTAAAGATTTACAGCCTCAGAAACCCTGTACAGAACCGACTCCACAGCACATACCAACAACAATCATGGAAGTACGTCAGCAGGTTGTCCGCTTGTGGAGTTACTTGTGGTTGTTAAGTGCCATCGAGTCGGTTCCGACCCTTAGCAACCGTGTATAGGGTTTCTGAAGAGCAGCTGGTGGGTTTGAAGGCTTCAAACAACTTTTCGAGTAAGAGCCGATGGCTTAAGCTTTAAGGCTCCTTACACAAACTAAAAACAAAACAAAATTGCTGTCAACTCAATGTCAATTCATAGTGCCCTGGTAGGACAGTAGAAATTCACCAGAGAGTCTCAAAGCCTGCCTGTCTGTCATATTTACAGAAGGAAAGTTCCATCTTTCTCCGTCTGAGCGGTTAGAAGTCAGCAGCCGAGTTCTTAGCCACTGAGACTTTACACAGGTTGTAGTGGACTGCTATCAACTTGGTTCCGGTTCATATAGTGACCCTGTAGAGGGCTTCCGAGAGCAGCTGGTGGGTTTGAACTGCCTACTTTGCAGTTAACAGTCCAGTACTTATCCTACAGCGCCACGCCAGGGTTCATTGGTTTTGTTGTTGTTGTTAAGTGCCTTCAAGTTCCTACTCATAGCAACTCTGTATAAGTTTCCAAGGTGCGGCTTGTGGGCTTGAACCGCCGACCTTATGGTTGGCAGTCCAGTGCACCACACCAATGCTCCCTATAACTGCCTCACTGACAGCGTGAGCTCTGGTCCCTAAACTGACAGCTTTATGATAAGACTGAAAGGACCCCTAGTGGTCAGATCTTCAAAGACCAGTTAGATACTGGCCTCCAGAGATTGCATTGAAAACTTTTTCTTTTCAAAATAGGACAGAGTGGAGCGATTGCTTTTTGGTTGTTGGTTTGTTTGTTTTTAATCAACTTTATCGAATTTGGTTGAAAATCAGAGCAAGCGTGGCCAGCCTTTAATTAATCTACGAACTAGAGAGGGAACCAATGCCTGGCTTGTAGCATTCACCCTGAGGGAGAATCCCATATTGATTCCCTTACACAGCCTAGTTTATCTCCGTGTCCCGGGAGGAGAGCGGGAAAGAAGAGCTAGTCTGAGGAGTCTAAAGCCCGTTTCTGACCCTGGTTAGATGCCATTTCTCATGCCCCTGTGATGACACCCCGTTGTCTCCCGATCCCAGAACATGTTCCAGGTGGAGGAGGTGAACTGCATCTGCGTGGACTGGAAGAAGGGCTCCCAAACCACATACAGCCAGGCTGCCAACAATGTGCGTGTGGTGGGTGCTCAGGTGGCTCAGATGCTCAGCGTTCTCTCGGTGAGTGGGCGAGGAGTCTGGGCATGGGCAGGGTGGGAGCAGCGCCCACTGGTGTTGGCTGGGTGGCGGTGCATCTAGGAGCTGCATAGTTTTAGAAAGTGAAATAACCGACATTCCTCTCAGATCTTACTTCTAAATTTCTGCAATGGGTCTCAATAATAACATAAACATACCCGTGAGAGAAATAATAATAATAACCCAAGAGGTGGGGGCTTTTAGTATCACCTTCAATGTAGAAAACGGAAATCCCGAAAGGTTCTGTGGTTTGCTCAAAACTCAAACAGCCTGCGAGTAGAAGATCTAAGCTGTTTAGCTCCCCTAGGTGGATTACTGATAAGCAAGGTGCGCACTGGCTGGCATTCAGCGAGGTATGATTGGGCTTAATTGCTTTTATTTACTAATCTGTGGCGCGAAATTTCACATGCGTTCTACCACCCCTGTCTTGTGGTGTGGGCCAGGTGAACCTGTGCCCAGCAGTTTGGTGGGAAGGCATGGTTGGACCCTTGAGTACCTTGCTTATTGGACCATCCAGCACTGTTCTACCAAATACCCCGGACGTGGAAGCTCTGTGTGCCAAATAGAGACATAATGAATAGGTACCAAATTTCCTGGCACATAGAGGGATTTCTTCTGCCACAGTCACGTCTGTGGGGTTTTTTCCTACCCTGGTCTTTTAACTAATTCTTTATGACTGTTTTCTAAATTAGTTAAATGTCCCAGTCACTTCTGTTTTATAGTTAAAGGGTTTACAAAAGACCCAAAACCCAAACGAAACCCGTACCATCGAATCAATTCCACTCATAGCGACCTCCATACAGGATTTCTGAGACTGTAAATCTTTACAAGAACAGAAAACCTCCTCTTTCCCCTGTATCAGGGACCCAGCCATTCTAATTATTCATGGATGATTATAAAAACTCACCCCTACAGACATTAAAACACATCGTCTTTGTATGGGGAGATCACTACAGATATCTGAGGACACAAAATCCTTTGTGGGTTCTAACTTTGCCAATAAATAAATCCAACTCAGTGAACACCTCTGAGGCCCCCATATGCAAAAACCCCATGGCTCTGTGTTATCCGTTTATTTGTCCAATGTTTTTGGAGCACGGAGTCAGGCGCTGAACTAGAAGGTAAAGAGGAGGGTTGAAGTCCTAGACCTTGGTAAGTGGCAGCAAAGGGAACACAGTGTGCCGCTGGGTCTGATGGGGGGCAGTGCAGGGTGCTATGAAGCACATAGGGGTGAGCAGCTAACTGGGAGTGAAGTGAGGGAGAGGTCTCCCCAGAGGAAGAGACACCCCAGTTAAGAGTGAAAGTTGATTGTGTCAGGTTAGCTACGCAAGTGATTGGAAGGATGATCAGCAATGGCTGCAAGTTCACAAAGCATTTGGCTAAAGAAGAGTCTAGAAGAATAGGTGCTAGGTCAGGAAGGCTCTGAGGCTGTTGTAATGAAGTTAGGCTTGATCCTGGGGAAGGTGGGAGCTTGGAAAGTTTGCAGCTGACAAGTTAAAAAATTAAAATAATAACCCACTGTTGTTAAATGCCATCCATCGATTCTGACCCATAGTGACCCTGTATAGGGTTTCTAAGGAGCAGCTTGTGAGCTTGAACCACTGACCTACCTTGCAGTTCAAACGGCTTTGCCGTCTGGTGCATTAGCCACAGCGCCCACTAGGGCTGCACAAAAATGCCCTGAAATTCCCTCTCCAGACGGACTACAAGTACTCACCTTCCAAAGTCCACCTCATCGGCCACAGCCTGGGAGCGCATGTGGCCGGAGAAGCAGGCAGTAGGACTCCAGGCCTGGGCAGAATTACAGGTAAGGCCCTGAGGGATAGGGCCCCAGGGTTTGTCCCAGGGTAACCCCAGAGTGAATTGACAAGCTTGAAGCTGCCCTGCAGAAGACTGTCCCCCTCAGCTGCGGCAGAGCTGGGTAGAAGTTGCACAGAACACTTTAGGAAACCTCCAAGAAACCCCAGGTCTGTCTGTCTTCATAGCAAGGGGGCAGACTTTGGCTTTGTTCCTCTTAACTTCCCCATCTCTACCCGAGTCCCTCCTCTCTAGGCCCAGGCTTCCCAGTGATAAGGTCCCCTCAGCACAGCTAGGAGTGAGTTCTCAGGAAAATGCAGAATAAGACTGTCTGAACAGGAACAAAACATAATTAAGGAAGAATTGCATTGTCTTGTAATTCTCTTTTCTTTAAAATCAAGGGCAAAGTGCAATATAAAAATAGTTTCCCACTTCCTATGCTGGAAGAAGAAATCCAGCCACCATCATAATCTCTTTAACCCCAACAAAGGATTAATTATAACACTAATAAAGCCAAAATATATGTATATGTCTTCAATAAGTTTGTGGGAAAATTCCACCATCTTTTCATTCCGTTTCTCCACCAATATTTTGAAACTCCCTCCTATGTATTATTATGATTTTGTTGTTGTTGTTAAGTGACATTGAAATGGTTCTGACTCATAGCGACCCTGTATAGGGTTTCCGAGGAGCAGCTGGCTGGTGGGTTTGAACTGCTGACCTTGTGATTATCAAGATAGACAAGAGGAAATACTAAGTTAATACTTTGCTTGCACACCTTGCCTATGTGCCAGACACGGTGCTAAAGGCTCCACAGATGAACTCACTTAATCTTGCAGCAGCCGTATTAACTAGGTGATATTGTCACCCCATTTTAATAAATAGGAAAACTGAGGCACAGGATGGTTGAGTGACTCACATGAGCACTTGCCCATGAAGCAGCTGAGCAGGGATGCGAACCCAAGCAGCCTAGCCCCTGATTCTGGGCTCTTTACTATGGCATCATACTGTTTCACCCACTTCAAATTTGGGGAGAAAAGGAGAACTTTCAAGAAGAAAGATAATACAAGTAAATAGAGAAATCTGATGTAGAAAAAATCCCCACTGAAGCATATGTGGATTTCTTTGCCTATCCGCCCTTCTCTGTCCACTTGAAATGAGAAATAGAGACATGAGACTCCACAGCCCATATTCAACCCCTAGGACCAAGCACTATGTATGTCCAGGGTACAGTAGCCCTTGAGTCGGGCAGTGTGGGCTGCACGGCTGTATACTTGGGCCCTGTTATACCTCCAGCCAGACCCGTTGTTCTCAGCGCTCATATTACCTTTTAGGGTTGGATCCTGTAGAAGCAAATTTTGAGGGCACTCCCGATGAGGTTCGACTCGACCGCTCTGATGCTGTCTTTGTTGACGTGATTCACACAGACGCTGCTCCCCTCATCCCATTCTTGGGTGAGTCCTCCCTGCACTGACAACCCTCCTCCCCGACCCCAAGTGCTCTGGCTATCAATTCAAGAGCCTGAATTACAACCAGCTCCTTGCGGCTCCAATTGTTTCAGGTTTTGGAACGAAGCAGCAGGTGGGCCATATTGACTTTTTCCCCAACGGTGGAGAGGAGATGCCAGGATGTCAGAAGAACACCCTGTCACAGATTGTGGATCTGGATGGCATCTGGGCAGGTAAAGTCACAGCCAGAGCATTCCGGTCTGGGGGGTCGTGTCCTCCCCATGGCTGATCTCAAAGACAAAAGTCACACCTCTCTTTAAAAAGATGTGCTTCTGGATTTTGCATCTGGAAAATAGAGACACATAACAGTCCCTATATGTCTGTTTTTCTGATTTCTGTACTTACTCAAAATACTGTTTTGGATGTATGGATTATACAATTAACCAAGAACTGCAAAACTGCTGCTCAGAGGTGCAACCCCAACAATTAATTCATCATTACCTAATTAAAAAGCAAAGTAAAGCAATTGCCATTGAGTTGGTTCTGACCACGTCAACCCCATGTGTTTCAGAGCAGCGCCGCTCCCTAGAGTTTTCAAGGCTGTGATCGTCAGGAAGCAGGTCACCAGATCTGTCTTCTGACGTGTCTGTGGCTGGCTTTGCACCTTCAAAGTATATAGCTCTGCTAGTAGTCGAGCGTTTGACCTTCATGCCAAAATTTCTGAAAGAGCAGTCCCACTGTGGAAGCATCCCCCCCAGAAAGAATGACAGACTCTGCCACAGCCCCTTGCCCTCCTTCGCTGACTTTCCTATTCATCTCCCCAGGAACCCGGGACTTCGTGGCTTGTAATCACTTAAGAAGCTACAAGTACTATTCAGAGAGCATCCTCAACCCCGACGGGTTCGCTGCGTATCCCTGTGCTTCCTACAGAGCCTTTCAATCGGTAACCCTTTGTCCTGCCTTGTGTCATGTGAGGCTGTTGTCCTGCTGTTTGGGGGGGGTCATACCCTTCATGAGCTCCCTTGTGTCATGTGAGACTGTAGCTCTGCTCTTTGGGGGATTTGTGCCCTCTCATGAGTTTGTCTTGACCATCCCCTACATGCTGACAAACACCCGTCAGAGTTCATGGTCCTGAACCATTTGTCTTCAAGACAATTACAACTCATTGCAAACCTGAAGGACAGAGGAGAACTCCTCCAAAAGTTTCCCCAAACTGCATCTTTATGGACGTAGACCACCACATATCTCTCCCAAGGAGGAGTTGGTGGGTTCAAACCACCAACCTTTTCAATCAGCAAGCGAGCACTTAACACTGCACCACCAGGTCTCCTTCTCGTGGTCCTGTCGTTGTTACGTACTGTCGGGTCGGTTCCGACTCACAGTGACTCTGTATAGGGTTTCTGAGAGCAGCTGGTGGGTTTGAACTGCTGACCTTGTGGTTACCAGTCCGATACTTATTCTACATCGCCACACCAGGGTTCTTTTCATGACCCTGTATAGTGGAACTAAAACAAACAAAAACTTTAGGCAAGAGTGGCGAAAATTCCAGATAGGTCGTGTGGAAGAGAGAGAACCTGGGAAATCCGAGAGAGGAGCTGACAAGTCTATGCTCTAGGAAGGCTTCCCTCAAGTGGCAGCTTTAGAATCCGGCTTGGAGAGCAGTAGAGTTTAGGAGGAAGAGCAGAGGTGTGGGAACAGAAGACTGGGTGGCAGACATCGGAGAGCTGCACCGAGAGAAGGGACGGTGGAGGCTGGTTTGATTTGCCAGACTGGGAGTTTGTGTGTTGTGCACCTGACAACAACAAGACAGATGGAAGGAATGATGGGCTGCAGCCCTCCTGTTCTGTGCAGTCCTCCCAGCTCTACGGTCACTGTAGGCCCTGATTCCACAGAAATTGCTCGATTCTACACTCTGTACTTTTTTCCACACAGAGCCACAGTTAAGCATTGGTCAGCACACCACTGTGGAAGGTATGATTGATCCAAGCTGGGTCCTTGGGTATTTTATAAAGCCCCCAGATGGTTCTAATGTGATGTGCATCAGGAACAGTTTGCCCTGAATAAGTTAGAGATCATTGATTCCAAACTGTTACAAATGCGGAAACCCAGGCTTTAGGAAAATAGAATGTCTGCTATGCCAAATTGTTGTTGTTGTTAGGTAACATCAAATCAGTACCAACTCATAGCGACCCTATGCACAACAGAACGAAACACTGCCTGGTCCTGCACCAACCTCACAATCGTTGCTACATTTGAGCCCATCGCTGCTGCCACTTTGCCAATCCACCGAGTTGAGGGGTTTCCTCTTTTTCTCTGACCCTCCATTTTACCAAACCTGATACCCTTCTCCAGGGACTGGTCCCTCCTGACAATATGTTCAAAGTATGAGAGACAAAGTCTGACCATCCTATATATGGCCAGATATATCAGTCAGTCACAAAAGACAAACTCAGGCAAAATACAAAACAATATAGACAGACCGACTGATTACTACAAGAGACATCAAGGCTAGTGGTCGGGTCCCCTCAGGGCAAACCCCCTTCTAAGACTAAGACTCAATGGGAATACACACTCTGATTGGTGACTGTGTTTGTCACCGATAAGGGGAAGTGGGGAAAAACAGTAATGAAGCTGCATGCTAAGCCCTACAACGTTCAATAGACTCCTGTGAACCCTGGTGGAAACCTGGTTGGCCAGCAGTGTGGCAAGACCTGTGGACTCTTCCGCCCAGAGTCAGTGACATAGCCACAGAGGACTAGAGTGGAGAGTGAAGCATCCGGCTGATAAGAAGAGGGGCATATGCACAAGAACACCCACACTTGCAGATAATACCCACTTGACCTGGCTTCAATGACTGGATGATCAGAGCTCAACTAGAAGAAGAAAGAAGAAAAAAAGAGTAATCTGATACAATTTGATGAACTTGACCTACACCCATGGATGCAGTAGCTCAAAAGAGGGAACAAATCTTTACAATGAGGATCACTGCCACCCCCTCCATACACAGAGTAGACAGGGATGGGCAACTTGGACATTCGCTACCCAAAATGGGGGCGCTACAAAGGCAAGAAGTGACTGACATACAAGCTTTCAAGAGGGAACCTAGATCCAGAGGGCATGGAGGAAGGTAGAATCTCCACTGAGTAGTATCCAATCTGTCTAGGTGGGGCTGATGAAAGGAAATGCAGATGGGGCTCTTGTGGTACAATAGTGAGTAATTGTTATCAGGACTGATTGTGAGGGATGGAAATGTAAATGTAGACGTTTTGTAGTAAGAAGGGGAGTGATTAACTTGCAGTCTAGGAGCGGAGGTCCCTGGAACCATCAAGGGAGAAGAGCAGAGAGCGGGACCCTACCCAGAGAAGCAGTGATGCCAGAGAGGGAGGCAGAGATGATGACATGGAGAGATGGAGTGGCTAGGGACCCAGAGAAGGAGAGGGACTGTGTGCTGATGACGGAGGGAGGTAGGGGTGGGGCAGGCTTGCAGGGTATACCCTTTGGTTGGTTGATGATGCATGGAGGGGATTATAACCATGACAATGAAATGATATATGATAGGATGAGTGTAAAGCACATATAAACTATCACATAATTCACAATAAAACATTTTAAAAAGAAAAAGAAAAGACAGACAAACTCACCTCACTGTTCATTTCTGCTCATCAGAACAAGTGCTTCCCCTGCCCAGATGAAGGGTGCCCACAGATGGGTCACTATGCTGATAAATTCGCCGGCAAGATAAGTGATGAGTCCCAGAAATTCTTCCTGAACACAGGCGATGCCAGCAGTTTTGCTCGTAAGTTACACTTCGGTTTTCTCTCCCCAGAAAAAGCTTCATTTCTGTGACAGATGAAGGGTTTTCCTTTAGTTTGGAATATTTGTGGACATCTTTTGATGACCTTAGAAACCTCAATTAAGCAATTAAGATTCTTTAAAATGCATTCTTGATGGTGAGTACATACACAATAAAAAATGACCAGGTCAACATTTTTCATTGTGCAATTTAGCGATATTGATGGTTTTCATCATGTGCGCCAATCACATATTTCTGTTTACCAATTTTTTATTATCAAAAGAGGCTCAGTTCCTCCAAGCAATGACATTTTAATCATCATTTGATGCATCAAAGAAAATAACTCATCTCCCAAATGATCCCATTTATGACAACTGTAGGTGTAAGCAGTCCCCATTTCTCCCATTTTGTATCTGTGGGACTAAATAAGTAGAAGAAAACTGTAAAATTAGTGGATGATGGCAATTTGCATGTTTTTGAAGCCACCTCTTCTGACTCTTCTCTCTCACTGTTAAGACTGTTCCCCTTTTAGACCATCTCCAGGCCCTAGTTCTTCCATTCATTCAACAAACATTTTTTTAATGCCAATTCTTTGCCAGGCCCCTTGAGAAGCCCATTTCTGGTCTCCCCACTCCCCACCCTCCCCATGATCCACAGGAGTTAAGAATGGAGTGGGTATGATTTCTCTCAAAAACTTGAATGAAAGAGGACCTAGGATACAGACAGGGAATTTTAGGGCTACTTTATGCCAACCTAGTCTATGGCAGTGCAAACTGCTAAGCATTCAGTTGCTAAGTGAAAATTTGGAGGCGCAAAATCACCCAGAAAAAAGGTCTGGTGAGCTACTTCCCAAAACTCAGTCACTGAAAACCCAAGGGACATCTTTCTACTCTGACCCCAAAGGGGTTTCCAGGAGTCAGCATTGACTGAGGGCAATTGCCGCTGGTCCTAAGATAGCTCCGCAGATGCTGTGATATAAAACCACAGACTGAGTGTATTTCTATGAATATATAAATATAATACATGTCTCAGGCTTTTTCAAGTCAGGTTTATTGAGACATAATTTATATACAGCAAAAGTCACCCTTTTTAGAGTATAGTACTATGAGTTTTGACAAATGACTAATTGGGTAACCACCACCACCATCCAGATGTAGAATTTCCATCACTATATGTGTGTGTGTGTGTGTGTGTGTGTGTTAAAGACAGAGGTTAATCAATCTTTCCACTCTGTAATGCTGCATGAACTACTTGCCAATATTTTAACAACATATTAAATGTTCAAATCTATGTATCCATTCCTCAACCCACATTTACTTATGGGCCCTAAACTGTGCTAGACCCTGGAGGTACAAGATGAACAAGACACCATTCTCATGAAATGTACAATCCAACAGAGAAGACAGAGACTCAACAGGAAAGGTGGAGATATGTTGGGCTTGGCCAATGGCACGTTGCTGTATGGCATTGTGGAACAAGTGATCTGCTTTAACCATCCTTAGGGATAAGGACAATGAGGATGTGTGTGTGTGCTTGTCTGTGTATGTGAACCTGTGTATGTGGGTATAACATGTTACGTATACGTGTGCACACGTGTGTATATACAAGAGGGCTTCAGAAATTTTGTCCAAAAAATCCCATTTTCTTTTAATTCCATATTTCCACAATTTTTTGAAGTCCTCCTATATATGTGTGTTTGTATGTCCATGCATGTGTGTAGGCTTGTGTGGCTGTGTGAATGTTCATGTGTGTGGATTTGTGTCAATGTGTATTATTTCTTTCAATACACAAGTATTGAGCTTTCTTCCATGATGGGTTGAGGTGTATGTATATGTGTGGGTGGGTGTAGGTTTGTGTGTATGTGAATAGACTTATGTGTGAGAGAGTACGTGTAGGTATGCATGTGAGTGTATGTGTATGTGTGCATGTTTGTGTAGGGGTAGAACTCCAGGGTGAAGACTGAGCTACTGTTCTGTGGGGACTGCCCAGGGCCTGGAGATGCAGAGATAATAAACGGGTCCTCAAAGGTGTTCACAAGACTGCACTCCTGAACTGTTTCTCCAGAGGTGGAGACATGTATGCCCGTGTGCTGACTTTTTCCATGTTGACTCTCAGTGATGTTAATCCAGAGCAGAGCTGTCCAGTAGAAATGTCTTCAATGAAGGACTTGATTGGTGCTGCCCAATACAGTACCCACTAGCCACAGGTGGCAGTTTAGCACTTGAAATGCGGTTAGTGTCAAGAAGGAATTCAACTGTAAATTTCACTTAACTTGAGTTAACCCTTTTGTGGCTGAATTATGTTCTGCTTTGACTTTTTCATTAATACCTTGAGTTTTCAGTTACGGAAGGTATGCTGAAATTAAGGTGGTGGGGGGAATCTCTTGAAGCAATATGGATTTTGATGCAATTATATGCAGCACATATATATAAGAAGGCTTCAACAAGTTCCTGGGAAAAAAATCCATTATATTTTCCTTCCATTGGTCCATGAACTTTTTGAAGCCACTTCATATGTCCCAAGTGGACCTTGGATGGAGGGTTGGTGGGGTGAGACCCACTTCTTCAGATTCACAGTTACATAGATCCCCTCCAGGCAGTAGCACAGACTACAACTGGGATAGGCTGAAAATGTTGGCGGGTGACATTTGTCCACTGAGTCATGAAAGGATTAAATAGCCACTGGGCAGCATTGCTCTAGAGGAAACCACTGCTGTTGTAGTTGGAACCAATGACCTTTCAATTAACAGCCGCATGCTTAACCCTTTCACTACCAGTATGGATTTTCCCTTAAGGCCTTGAGTTGTAGACTAACAAGTAGGATTTCTTCTAGTTTGATGCCTCAGTGTAAGGAGGGAGGGATGTGAGGCACCTCTCTTCTGTGTGGGAACCAACTGATCTTCTCTCATCCATTGGTGCAGGCTGGAGATATGGAGTTACAATAACAGTGTCCGGAAGAACTGTCACTGGGCAGATCAAAGTTGCTTTGTTTGGAAGTAAGGGAAACACTCGCCAATACGACATATTCAGGCAAGTTTTAGTGTGGTATCTCATGTGGTGATGTGTGCAGCTTGCCATGAGCAAATCCATCCACTGAGCTTAAACACTTATCAATTGTTCATCTAACAATGGACCTGAAATTCTTTCCTTTAGGTACTAAAGCAGATTGCTGACCTTTGCTAACCTTTTTTCCCTCTATAAAAAAACTGGCATTCAGTTCTATTTTGACAGATCGGCTTTTTTTTTTTAAATAATAAATCTAACAGTAATACAGATGTCACATTTTCTGATTGTAATATATGTTTGTTGTATTAAACTAAGTGGTTAGTTTACTGTACAAGTAACTCTTTCAAAAATAATATGAAGAAATTAAATAACTTTCAATGTAAAGTATTAGGAGAAATGAACATACATGAGTTTGAAAAAAACCTGTTGAAATCATAGTTTGAGGCTGCCACCATTTAGCTGGCTTTCCACTTCTCCATTCTTAATTTGAGAATTAATTTGAAAAAAGAATCTTGTTAATCTAGAGTAGAAAGAGCAGCATGCTGTTAGAATCATTGGACGTCATTTCTCTGAATGGGAATGTTACCATTTTTCTATTTCCAGGGGACTTATTAAGCCAGGCTCAACCCATTCCAGTGAGTTTGACGCCAAGCTTGATATTGGAACAATCGAGAAAGTCAAGTTTCTCTGGAATAACAACGTGATAAATCCAACCTTCCCCAAAGTGGGCGCAGCCATGATCACCGTGCAAAAGGGCGAGGAGAAGACAGTGTATGTATCCCGGCTGACTTGTGTCTAAGGAATTTTGTAGCTTCGTGCGTGGAATGAAAACTCACCCTTGCAAACCAGTGATAGTTCAGGCAGCAAAGCCAAGAAGCTTTATCTTCCTCCCCAGGCAAGCAAACTGCTGGCAGAACACCACACATTTCTGTCTGGTACACTTGCCTGGTCCTTTGCATAGTCTCTGGGGGATTTGGAGATATGAACTTGCCTTCAAGGAAAACTACAACAGAGATCATGACATATGTCTGGAAAGTATAAGGGTGTAGGTATGGGATAGAGAACGGCTTCCGTTGGAAGAGGGGAAGACCAGAGAAATTTCAAATAATCGGAGAAGAGAATCAATTTTAGTGAGAGCTATAAATCTGAAGCAAGGAAAGAGAGCTAGTGGGCAGTGCTTGTGGGTCCCCCCCACCCCATGCCAATGCAGCCATGAGGGAGGAGGCAGTTGGAGGGCATGGGGTGGGATGGAGGCAGTCACCTAAGAGGGCCAAGGCATTGTCTCCCAAAGTGGACACACTCCCCTGCCGCCCTCCGTGGACCCCAGTTCTGGTCTGCAGGGCATTCTTGGGGCTCCTGGGAAGGGCAGCCTGGCCTCTCAGCTCCTAGGAGCTTGGGTGTTGGGATTAGGTTGGGCCAGAGCTAAATCAAGCTCAGATCCTAGGCAGGGAGGGTTGCATGGCAGAGTGGCACTGGGGCTGGAGGACCCCTGTGTGAGATTACCCCTCCCTATCTGAGTCACAGAGGACAGAGTCTGGTCTGGCCAGGTGGCTGGTGGACAGTGTGGGGACACTTGATTAAAGCCTGTTTGGAGCCTTATGCAGCTTGGGCACATGTCCAGGACCATTCTTCAATGGCCCATTGGAGGAGCAAAACCCCAATCAAGCCAACTGCCCTGAAGTCCATTCCAACTCATGGTGACCGAGTAGAACTGTGTTCTGTAGGGTTTCCTTGGCTATATTTATAGAAGCAGAACACCAGCTTCTTTTTCCTGAATATTTGCCAAGGGCCTGCCATGCACTGCTCACAGGGAGCCCACAATCGGGTGGGACACAGGACCAGAGTCAGGGGCCACTCCTTAACCATCTGGACCCTCGGGCTAGAAGCCATGTAGCCATCAGATCTCCAGGAGCTGGCGGAAGCCACCACCTGATGCTATTCCTTCCAAATTGCAAATCAACTTGTGCTTTAATTATGTGAAGAATGCAATCCCCAAGGCTTTCCAGAAAGATACCCAACTCCTAAAAGGCACTCGCTTTTCTTCACAGGTACAACTTCTGTAGCGAAGACACCGTGAAAGAAGACGTGCTGCTGACTCTCACACCCTGCTAAGCTCAGGCCCGGTGTGCTCCCTGTGTGAACATCAATAAACGCCATTGATGCATCTACCTACTCACAGTTTGTCGCTGATGTCAGATGCTACCTGTGGGGACATTGGAACATCTAAAAAATGTATAAGCGTTTCCAGATACTTGGGTTTCTTGCCATTGATTTCCCGCCAAACACTCCTGGGTCATCATGTTCCCTGCCTTCTGTTGGCCTGACTGGGAGAAGGGAGTCATTAACAGCAGAACTCGTTCCGACGGGTAGTGACTTGATGCCCAACAGAAGGAAACACTGCCCAGTCCTGCACTGGCCTCATAACCCATTGTTACTGCCACTGTGTCAATCCATCTTGCTGGGGGTCTTCCTCTTTTTCATCGACCCTCCAGTTTAACAAGCATGATGTCCTTTTTCAGGGACTGGTTCCTCTTAACATGTCCAAAGTAAGAGAGATGGAGTCTGGCCATCCTCTCTTGTAAGGAACATTTCTGGCTGTACTTCTTGAACATTTAGGGGGTCTCAACAGAAACTTTAGTCCTGCCCCTCATTTCACAGAGAAAGAGAGTTGTCTGTTCAAACTCACAGAGTGATTTAATGTCACATCAGGACAGAGGATCAGACTGGGAAGCCCTCAGTCAGTCAGTCCGCACCATGGCCCATTTCAGATAGACCCTGAGGAAAGCGTGTTCTCCTTACTAGGAGCCCAGTCAGACAGACTGAAAGAGTATTCTCTTCACCATGGCCCAGACAGACAGATTCTGAGAGTGTTCTCCTTACCAGTAGCCCAGACAGACAGACTCTGAGAGAGTGTTCTCCTCACCATGGCCCAGACAGACAGACTGAGAGAGTGTTCTCCTCACCAGGAACCCAGACAGACAGACTCAGAGTGTTCTCCTCACCATGGCCCAGACAGACAGACTGAGAGAGTATTCTCCTCACCAGGAACCCAGACAGACAGACTCTGAGAGAGTGTTCTCCTCACCATGGCCCAGACAGACAGACTTTGAGAGAGTGTTCACCTCAGCATGGCCCAGACAGACAGACTAAGAGAGTGTTTTCCTCACCAGGAACCCAGACAGACAGACTGAGAGAGTGTTCTCCAGACCATGGGTCCAACTCAGACATGCTCTGAAAAAAAGGTGGCCCAACGTGCCTCATGATCATCCCCTGGGACATTATTGTTAGGTGCCTTCAAGTCAGTTCCAGCTGGTAGCAACAGAAAGCTGGTACAACAGAAAGAACCACTGCCCTGTTCTGCACCATCTTGTAATTGTTATGTTCGAGCCCATTGTTGGTGCCACTGTGTCATCCACGCTATTGGGGATCTTCCTGTTTTTCACTGACCCTCCATTTTATCAAGCACAACGTCCTTTTCCAGGGACTGGTCTCATCTGACAACAGAGCCAAAGTAAGAGAGAGACAAAGTCTCGCCAGCCTCGCTTCTAAAGAACATTCTAGCTGTACTTCTTCCAAGTCAATTTGAATTTGCTCCTTCTTCTGAAAATCTATGGTATTTTCAATATTCTTCACCAGCACCACAATTTAAATGCATTGATTTTTTTTATAGTCTTCCTTATTCAATGTTCAACTTTCACATGCATATGAGGCAATTGAAAATGCCAGGGCAGGTGCACCTTTCAAAGTGACATCTTTGCTCTTTAACATTTTAAAGAGGTCTTGGGCAACAGATTTGCCTAATGCAATGCATCATTTTACTTCTTGACTGCTGCTTCCATGAGCTTTGATTGTAGATCCAAGCAAAATGAAGTCTTGGACAACTTCAGTCTTGTCTCCATTTATCATGATGCTACTTATTGGTCCAGTGGTGAGGATTTTGTTTTCTTTACATTGAGGTGCAACCCATATCAGTGGTCTTTGATCTCCATCAGTAAATGCTTTGAGTCCTTTCCACTTCCAACAAGAAAGGTTGTGTCATCCGCATATCGCAGGTTGTTAATGAGTCTTCTTCTAATCCTGTTGTCATGTTCTTCATATAATCCAGCATTTCAAATTATTTGCTCAGCATACAGATTGAATAAGAATGGTGAAAGAATACAACCCTGATGCACATCTTTTCTGATTTTAAACCATTAGTATTTTTTGGTTTTATTCAAATGACTGCTTCTTATTCTATGTACAAGTTCCTCATAAGCACATTACGTGTTCTATAATACCCATTCTTCACAATGATGTCCATAGCTTGTTATGAACCACATAGTTGAGTGCCTTTACATAGGCAATAAACTACAAGCAAACAATCTTCTGGTATTTTCTGCTTTCAACAAAGATCCAACTGATGTCAGCAATGATATCCGTCTTTCCATGTCCTCTTCTAAATCCTGTTTGAATTTCTCGCAGTTTCCTGTCAATGTACTGTTGCAATCGTTTTTAACTTAACTTCAGCAAAATTTTATTTGCATGTGATATTAATGATATTATTCAGTGATTTCTGAATTCTTTGGAATGGGCACAAATATACATCTCTTCCAATCACTTGTCCAGATAGCTGTCTTCCAAATTTCTTGGCATAGACCAATGAGCACCTCCAGAACTGCATTAGTTTGTTGAAAGACTTCCATTTATATTCTATTAATTCCTGGATCCTTGTTTTTCACCAGTGCCTTCAGTGCAACTTGGGCCTCTTCCCTCAATGCCATTGACTCTTGATCATATAGTACCTCTTGAAATGATTGAGTATCAGCCAACTCCTTTTGGTATAGTGACTCTGTGTATTCCTTTCATCTTCTCTGGATGCTTCTTGCATCTTTCAGTAGTTTTTCTACAGCATCTTTCAATATTGCAGTGTGAGGCTTGAATTTTTTAGTCTTTCAACTTGAGAAATTCGAGCGTTTTCTTCTCTTTTGGTTTTCTAACTCCAGTTCTTGGCATGTTTCATTATATTACTTTACTTTGCTTCCTCAATCCTTTGAAATTTTCTCTTCAACTCTTTTATTTGCTCATTTCTTCCAATCACTTTAGCTTCTCTATGCTCAAGAAAAAGTTTCAGTGACTCTACTGACATTCATTTTGGACTTTTCTTTCTTTCTTTTTTAATGACCCTTTTCTTTCATTGGGCATAATTTTTTTAATATCATCCCACAACTCTTCTGGTCTTTGCTCAGTAGTGTCTAATGCATCGATTCTGTTCTTGAGATGGACTCTAAAATTCAGGTGGAATATACACATGGTCATATTTTGGATCTTGAGGATTTATTTTAGTTTTTTTTTCAGTTTCAGACTGAACTTACGTATTAGCAATTGATGATTTGTTCCATAGTCAATAAAGCATATCCGATCAATTTCAGACTAAAGGAGTTGGTAGAATTCTTCAGTTTCATCATCATTGGCTTTAATGGTTGGTGCACAAATATGGATGATAGTAGTGTTCACTGGGCACACCTTCCAACACTACATCAGACAATGGGGGGCGGGGGGTATTTTTGTTTTGGCTTTGGTTTTAACAAACTTGCACAGTTTAGGAGGCTAGAAGTGCAGTTTCAGCGTGCTGGCTCCAGGGGAAGGCTTGGTCGGCTCTGAGGAAACGTCCTTGTCTCCTTTCAGTATCTGTAGGCTCAGCATTTCTTGTAGTTTTTTTTTTTTTTTTAATTTTTATTGTGAATTATGTGATAGTTTACACAGTTTACATGGGAGAACACTAGCTTTACATTCATCCTATCATATATCCCCTCCACGCATCATCAAACAACCACGGGGTATACCCTGCAAGCCTGCCCCTCAGTCATCAACACACAGCCCCTCTCCCTCTCTGGGTCTAGAGTTCCAAGCCATTCCATCTCTCCATGTCATCATCTCTACCTCCATCTCTGGCGTCACTGTTTCTCTGGGTAGGATACCGTACTCTGCTCTTCTCCCTTGATGGTCCCAGGGACCTCCGCTCCTGAACTGCAAAATCAGACAATGTTTTATTGTTATTCATACAACTTTCAGTGACTAAGCATTCAGGAGTGGTCTGTTTCTCCTTCCTAGTTTATCTTAGTCTGGAAACTCTGCTGAAACCTGTTCGGCATGGTGACCCTGCTGGTATTTCAAATATTGGAGGCATAACTTCCAGCATCACAGCAACATGTAAGCCACTACAGTATGACAAAGTGACAGATGAGTGGTGCGAGGACATGAAGAGACCTAGAAATAACAACGTCTCTGAATATCCCTCCTCTTGGTCACCAATCCTCATGTTCCATCCTGGCTTCTGTCTCTAACCAGTGGTGACATGAGACACGATTACTGAACCTTCAAGCTTGGCCATGGATGGACTCCAGATTGTTCCTCAAAAGCAGAGGTGACCATTAAAGGAGTGACTACAGTGAAGGCCCTCAGGGCATCGAGGAAGTTCTCAATATTCTGAGACAATGATGAGGGTGATAAAAAGGACGGTGGCAGCGGGGTGAGGGTGGGAGACACCACACTCCTTAGGTGGGGATACCAAGCAGGAGAGAAGGTAGCTCAGGGCAGAGACTGGGATGCCAAATGGCCACAATTTGCCCCTCACTGGCCTTGAACCCACAGCCTGTGCAAGGCAGCATCCTGCTGGCAAAAGACCTCAGTGTAATGTGAACTCTGCAAACACTTGTATCAACCACCAGCTCTGTGCCAATCATGGTGCCAGGCACTGGGGTGAGAGTAAAGCAGAATACACCAACTCTGTCCTCAAGGATGGACAGACCAGCACTTAAATAAATGCCACCACATGGCCTGGTAGCCCCCAGATCAAGGTCTGTCCCAGGACAGAGGACCCAGAAGGAGCAGGATGGGAAAAGCTGCACAGAGAAGGTGGTTCTATCCCAAACTTGAAGGCAGGAGCCTACTGAGACTGGAGACTGGGAGACCACCCATGGGGAGGAGGAGGCCCTGGCAGATCTGAAGTGATGACAGGGACCATATGGTGGTGGTCAGTGGGGCCGGGGGATGATGGAGGCCAAGTGGCTGGTTGGTCATGGGTCAGAGTCCTTCTCCATGGTCAAGAACAGCTCCACAGACAGATGTGGGAG